AGCCAGTCACACTCTCCTGCACTCACTGACAGCCAGTCACACTCTCCTGCACTCACTGACAGCCAGTCACACTCTCCTGCACTCACTGACAGCCAGTCACACTCTCCTGCACTCACTGACAGCCAGTCACACTCTCCTGCACTCACTGACAGCCAGTCACACTCTCCTGCACTCACTGACAGCCAGTCACACTCTCCTGCACTCACTGACAGCCAGTCACACTCTCCTGCACTCACTGACAGCCAGTCACACTCTCCTGCACTCACTGACAGCCAGTCACACTCTCCTGCACTCACTGACAGCCAGTCACACTCTCCTGTACTCACTGACAGCCAGTCACACTCTCCTGCACTCACTGACAGCCAGTCACACTCTCCTGCACTCACTGACAGCCAGTCACACTCTCCTGCACTCACTGACAGCCAGTCACACTCTCCTGCACTCACTGACAGCCAGTCACACTCTCCTGCACTCACTGACAGCCAGTCACACTCTCCTGCACTCACTAACAGCCAGTCACACTCTCCTGCACTCACTGACAGCCAGTCACACTCTCCTGCACTCACTGACAGCCAGTCACACTCTCCTGCACTCACTGACAGCCAGTCACACTCTCCTGCACTCACTGACAGCCAGTCACACTCTCCTGCACTCACTGACAGCCAGTCACACTCTCCTGCACTCACTGACAGCCAGTCACACTCTCCTGCACTCACTGACAGCCAGTCACACTCTCCTGCACTCACTGACAGCCAGTCACACTCTCCTGCACTCACTGACAGCCAGTCACACTCTCCTGCACTCACTGACAGCCAGTCACACTCTCCTGCACTCACTGACAGCCAGTCACACTCTCCTGCACTCACTGACAGCCAGTCACACTCTCCTGCACTCACTGACAGCCAGTCACACTCTCCTGCACTCACTGACAGCCAGTCACACTCTCCTGCACTCACTGACAGCCAGTCACACTCTCCTGCACTCACTGACAGCCAGTCACACTCTCCTGCACTCACTGACAGCCAGTCACACTCTCCTGCACTCACTGACAGCCAGTCACACTCTCCTGCACTCACTGACAGCCAGTCACACTCTCCTGCACTCACTGACAGCCAGTCACACTCTCCTGCACTCACTGACAGCCAGTCACACTCTCCTGCACTCACTGACAGCCAGTCACACTCTCCTGCACTCACTGACAGCCAGTCACACTCTCCTGCACTCACTGACAGCCAGTCACACTCTCCTGCACTCACTGACAGCCAGTCACACTCTCCTGCACTCACTGACAGCCAGTCACACTCTCCTGTACTCACTGACAGCCAGTCACACTCTCCTGCACTCACGCATCAGCGGGCGGCCAGGGCTGCCCCCACACCCACACCTCGCCCTCCCTCGTCAGCACCACGGAGTGCGTGCCGCCCGCCGCCACCTGGGGGCATGGGGGCATAGGAAAGGATAGGGTATCGGGGCATGGGGTCATGGTGGGATAGGGAATAAGGGCATGGAGTAGTGGAGGTGCGCGCAGATGAAAGCGGTAAGGCAAACAAAGATGAAAGCGGTAAGGCAAACAAAGATGAAAGCGGTAAGGCAAACAAAGATGAAAGCGGTAAGGCAAACAAAGATTAAAGCGGTAAGGCAAACAAAGATGAAAGCGGTAAGGCAAACAAAGATGAAAGCGGTAAGGCAAACAAAGATGAAAGCGGTAAGGCAAACAAAGATGAAAGCGGTAAGGCAAACAAAGATGAAAGCGGTAAGGCAAACAAAGATGAAAGCGGTAAGGCAAACAAAGATGAAAGCGGTAAGGCAAACAAAGATGAAAGCGGTAAGGCAAACAAAGATGAAAGCGGTAAGGCAAACAAAGATGAAAGCGGTAAGGCAAACAAAGATGAAAGCGGTAAGGCAAACAAAGATGAAAGCGGTAAGGCAAACAAAGATGAAAGCGGTAAGGCAAACAAAGATGAAAGCGGTAAGGCAAACAAAGATGAAAGCGGTAAGGCAAACAAAGATGAAAGCGGTAAGGCAAACAAAGATGAAAGCGGTAAGGCAAACAAAGATGAAAGCGGTAAGGCAAACAAAGATGAAAGCGGTAAGGCAAACAAAGATGAAAGCGGTAAGGCAAACAAAGATGAAAGCGGTAAGGCAAACAAAGATGAAAGCGGTAAGGCAAACAAAGATGAAAGCGGTAAGGCAAACAAAGATGAAAGCGGTAAGGCAAACAAAGATGAAAGCGGTAAGGCAAACAAAGATGAAAGCGGTAAGGCAAACAAAGATGAAAGCGGTAAGGCAAACAAAGATGAAAGCGGTAAGGCAAACAAAGATGAAAGCGGTAAGGCAAACAAAGAGGCGGGACTCACCAGCGAGAGTGGGGAGGACGACACAGTGAAAAGGAGAGAGAAGAGCAGACAGAGGGACAAGGGGGACAGAGCTCTCACCTGCTCCCACCTCTCACCTGCTCGCACCGCTCTCACCTGTTTGACGCGCAGCTGGGGCACGCAGGGGAAGGGCGAGAGGATGTCTCGGGCGCTCAGCTTGTTGCCGTGCAGCTTGTCTGCCACCTTGGCTGCACACTGCCCATACTCGTTGCCGCCTGGGAGGGGAGGAACACAGGGTGACACAATCATGAGGTAACAGGGTTACCACATCAGCTTGTTGCTGTGCAGCTTGTCCGCTGGGAGGGAGAGTAAAACAGGGGGTACCAGGTAACACTGTGACATGGTAACAGGGTTACCACATCAGCTTGTCCACCACCTTGGATGCACACTGCCCATACTCGTTGCCACCTAGGATGGGGGGGAATAATGGGTAACAAGGTAACTGGTAATTGACACGGTTCCACATAACATGACACGGTAGGTAACATGGTTACCTTGTTGGCCGATATGGCGTCGCATTTGCCACCTGAGCGAGAGGGAAGCGAGGCGCATGAGACAAGACAACAACAACACCGGCACATTTCAACAGTAGATACACCAAGAGACCATCCCCTTTATGCGGGCCCTAATCTACCAAGGTGGCAGCATGGCATGCAATGCAACGCACTGCAGTGCAATGTGTGGAGCATTTCTGGGTGTGAGGGAGTAATCTCGAGCGAGGAAGTGCAGGAGGGCAAGGACGGACGGACCCACCCCAGGAGAAAGCAGTCCCCTTCTCGTTCACGGCTAAACAGTGCCACCCTCCAATGGCTGCCTGCCATGTCAGCAGTCCAAAAGAAGGAATGGGCAGCAGAGATTGGCATTCATAACAGCTAAAGCATGACAGCAGGTAACAATGACAGCTAACAGCTAAATCATCTGAGACAGCGCGCATACATGGTGAGTCAGCTGACCAGCAAGCCAAGTCAGCACACATACATGGTGAGTCAGCTGACCAGCAGGCCAAGTCAGCTCACCTGCAAGCTGAGTCAGCTCACCTGCAAGCTGAGTCAGCTCACCTGCACGATCTTCTCGTCTTTAAGCGACTCCACCTGCACGTGGATGGAACGGGAGAAAGGAAGCGTTTAGCACACAAGGCACGGGCACCTGACCTGGCACCTGACCTGGCACCTGACCTGGCACCTGACCTGGCAGCTGACCTGACAGGGGACGGCTTCTCTCGGGGCGGCCGGGGCAGGTGGATGGCCCAACGTGCTGCGCTGATTCCACCCCCACACGAATACCTGGTGGTGGGGGTCGGTAATTGGGGAGGAGAGGGGGGTGTTGAATGTTTCCGAAAGGGCTCGTTCCACCCCTGCACGGACACCTGGGAATGAGAGGGAGGGGGACGGAGGAGGGGGGAAGAGAAAATGTTCAAGAAGTGCTGGTTTCGCTTCTTCCCAACACGAATACCTGGTGGGTAGCGGACGCTGGGAAGGAGAGGGGCGGTGGGGAGAGGAGGGGAATAGGAGGAAGGGTGTGAGTTGTGTAGTGCTGGTTCCATCCCCACAAACACCTGGAGAGTGAGTGGGGCTCGTAAGGTCCTTAAGGGCGAGGAGGGGGTTTTGTGTGGGCGGCTGCAAGAAGTGTAGGTGCCGTGCCAACCCCACACGGACACCTGGCGGATGGGGAGGGGAGGGGTGATAACGCCGCACCGGTGACATTCCTCAGTGAACACGCCGGATGGACCAAGGCGAGGATGGACCAAGGCGAGGATGGAAAGGAGAGGCTTGATGCGTGCTGGTTCGAGAGCAGCACAGGCATTGGTGCTGTGCAGACGGCACATGGGGTAAGGAAGAGGGGAAGAACGTTTTGGACCTTGGGGAATGCAAGAGATAGGTGCAAAGGAAAAACGTTTCGGGGAACCCATACTGTTCATCTCACCCGGCCGTCCTGTGTGAGGGCGAGGGAGTTCCTGCTGCCGCCCACCAGCTGCACCACGTCCGCCCCTGCCAGCGCCGGCACGAGCTGCAGCGCTGCTGAGTGCGCCAGTGCGCCCGTGCCCAGCTGCCCATCCTCGTTCGCTCCCCTGCAAGGGGGACATGTATGGAGGAAAGGGGCAGGTTGAATTGGTGGGTGGGGGCCAGGGAACAGTAGGGCAGTGTTGGATGCATGGAGGGCAGTGTTGGATGCATGGAGGGCAGTGTTGGATGCATGGAGGGCAGTGTTGGATGCATGAAGGGCAGTGTGGAGGGGCGGGGGGGTACAATGGCGCTTCTCCCGGCCTCGTGGTGCTGCTGGGTGCGCCAGCGCGGCCGTGCGCACCCGTGACCCGCCCATCTTCATTCAGTTCACACCCCCGGGAAGGGGAGGGGAATGCGTGGAGGGTGAGAAAGGGCAAGTTGGGCTGATGTGGGTGGTTGGAAGGGATGAAACGCGCTTTCACAGGAGTGTGGAGGGGTTTAGTTTAGTCGTCCCGTCCTGGTTGACGCCCCTGGGGGCATGGCATGCGCGGAGGGGGATGGGGCGGGGTTGAATTGATAGGGGCTGGTGGAGTGAAGGGCGCTTCTCCACTCCAGCCTGATGGCGCTGCACGGTGCATCAGTGCTGCCCGCTGTTATGGCTGTCCCTCCCAGGGGAGAGGACTGTTGAGGCGCCTGAAAAGCTGTCCCAGGGGAGAGGCATGAAGGCACAGCGAGGCAGGCCACAGAGGAGATGCGCAGGACTGTGGCCAGCGAGGAGATGCCTTCCCGTGGCCAGCGAGGAGATGCCTTCCCGTGGCCAGCGAGGAGATGCCTTCCCGTGGCCAGCGAGGAGATGCCTTCCCGGCTGCGAGTGCGCAGGGAGGCTGTGCCATGTGGAGTGGGGATGTGAGGATCGGGGGAGAGGGGGAGGTGGGGAGGTGGGGATTGGGGGAAGGGGGAGGGTGGTGTGGTGTGTTGTGTGTCTCCCAGCCCAGCAGAGAGAGAGGCATGGCGACACAGCACAGTGGGGCAGGCCGGCAGGGGAGATGCGCATCTTGCTGTGCCCAACTGCCCGCCCGCCTGCTCCGTGCGCAGGGAGGCTGCTCAGTGCGCAGGGAGGCTGCTCAGTGCGCAGGGAGGCTGCGCCGTGTGGAGGGGGGAGGTGAGGATGGGGGGAGTGGGGGAGGTGAGGAGCGGGGGAGGAGGGGAACGGGGGAGGAGGGGAACGGGGGAGGAGGGGAACGGGGGAGGAGGGGAACGGGGGAGGTGGCGAAGACAGAAGGGAATTCCGCCGCCGAGGTGCTTCAAACGAGCTGGCCCAATTGGCCCTCGCACGAGAAAGGGGTTGAGTGGGGTTTCAGGCGGAGGGACGGGGTTTAAGTGGGGTCGGAGGTGGGGGAAGAGGGGGAATGGAGAAGGGGGTTTGTTGGGGTGGGGGTGCGGCGTGGAGAGGGGGTAGCGGAGAAGAGGTAGGGGAGAGGCGGGGGAAAAGTGATGGCGAGAGTTGTTGGAGGGAGCGTGTTGTTGGGCTCGTGGGCACTTGTGATGGCGACGGTTGTTCCGGTCTCAAAAGCACGGGGACGTCCAGTGCTCCCCCGCTGCCACCTCGCACAGGGCGTGCGACGAGTGCGGGCGCAAACACTGCGGCATCGCTGCCTCGCCCCCCGCAGCCTGCGGAACCGCATTTCCCGGCGAAGGGACGACCACCGCGCGAGAAAAACCACCCTGCAGGCAGCGCCGGGCAGGAGCGGCTGGGTGACATTCGAGTCACTCAAAACAGAAGTCGCCTCGGCTGCTCGGAGGAACTGCGGGGCGAGAAGCGTGGGGGGAAGCGGCAGAGACGAGCTTGCGCCGCCGCTGCCTTTGCGGCCTCGCGGAATTACGCTCGACGCAGCATTCGCCGCAATTGACGCGATGGGTTTAACCGTAACTGCTTGCTACACGCCAAGCAGCTACATCCCGGAGCGAGCCGTACGCGTTACAGCGCATGGTTTACACGCAAACCTCACCATGAGTATATAAGTTTTCGGCAACCTTCAGAAGCAGTCGCGCGGTCATGCGCCATTCCAGTGGGCTAGCGGGGGAGGGTCAAACGTACGATAGTTGCGATGGTGCGTGGCAAAGGATGCATTCGTAGGCTCAGATAGATGTTGGAAAGTTGTATGTGTGTGTGTGGATCACTATTTTATTAGACCTGGGTTGTAACACGTTGTTACTAGTGCAATTGAGAAAGCCAGCTAAAATTGCACTATTAAACAATACAATGAGCTAAGGCACATTGGCTGCGTTGCGTTCTGTTGGCGCATTAGTAATGCGCCAACAACGGACAAGTAATGCGCTCAGAGGCTCTGGCGCAGGAGTGCACCCCCTTAAAATTACCACGAAGGGATGTCTCGGGCGAGACGTATCTGCGAGGCAAGCTTTAGGATGTTTACGTGGGGGCAGATGTCAGATGTGGTAGTCTTAGTGATGTGTTTTAGGGGGTACAACTGATAGGGTTAGGTTTATGTACCCCAACCAACCTTAGTCAAACCAACACTTTCATTCTTGACATGGTATCACCTAGGTTAGGATCCAGTGGGATCCCGCTAGAGCCTCTCGCACCCGTTGCACGTAGTCGACTGTTCCCGCTGCGCCTGTTTCGTCCCGTAGCGCCCTTAGCGCGTGCCCGCTCCGTTACGAAGCGCCCGTAGCGCTCGCACTCCCCGTCGCGTCGCGTCCCCAGCCCGTCGCATCTTCTGCCCGTCCCGTCCCCTGCTCGTCCCGTCCTCTGCCCGTCCCGTCCCCTTCCCTATCCCGTCCCCTGCTCGTCGCGTCCTCTGCCCGTCGTGTCCCCAGCCCGTCGCGTCCCCTGCCCGTCGCGTCGCGCTGCCAGTCTCGTCCCTAGTCCGTCGCGTCCCCTGCCCGTCGCGTCGCGCTGCTAGTCCCGTCCCCTGCCCGTCGCGTCGCGCTGCCGTCCCGTCCCCTGCCCGTCGCATCCCATGCCCGTCGCATCGCGCTGTTGTCCCGTCCCCCGTCCATCGCGCCCCCGCTGCGCCCTGCGCGTCCGTGGCACCCCGTGCGCCCTGCCCGTCCGTCGCGCCCCTGCTGCGCCCTGCCCGTCCGTCTCGCCCCGTGCGCACTGCCCGTCCGTCGCGCCCCGTGCGCCCTGCCCGTTCGTCGCGCCCCGTGCGCTCTGCCCGTCCGCGCCTGTTGCGCCCGTCCCTGCCAGTTGCGTCCTGTCCCGTCGCGCCGCACTGTCTGTCACGCTCTACGCAGGCCCTTCAGGCGTTTAGGGTTTCGGCAACAGCAGTTCCCACCCCTTCGCTACCTCTATGGCGACCCCCAGGGTTCTGCGCTTTGACGCCGAGGGTAGGCCGCTTGAGTTCTCCGTCTGGCTCCTGCGTGCACGCCGCCTTTTAGAGAGTAAGGTTCAGGCGGATGAGTCTCTGTGGGCGCACGCTTTTGGCGACCTTCCTAAGTCCGGCGATCCTGCACCCTTAGGCACTGACCCTAGCGATGCAGCCAGAGATCGTTATGCCCGCCAACGTGCTGACCTCACAGCGTGGAAGTCGCGTGACGCTGCGGCCTGCATCGCCCTCAGCAGCCTCCTCCCTGAGTCTGAGGAGGCCCGCTTCACTCAGGTTCGCTCGGCTAGTGAGTTCCTGACTGCGATCAAGGCCCGCTATGCTACTCCCACCTGTGTCTCTCTTGGTCGCCTGTTCCTCCCGTTCCTGTTTCCTGACCTCGCCTCGTTTGAGCGTTCTGCTGACTTGATCGCTCACTTGCGCTCGCTCGATTCCAGCTACCGCGCTGCCAGCACTGACGAACAGCTTGCACTGCTCCCTCCCCCTATGGCGATTACTATATATTTCATCGCCACTAGCCTCCCTGACCACCTTGCCTCGGTTCGTGACGCGCTTCTTCTGAAGCACCCTAGCAAGCTCACTAGCGAGGTCCTTGAGTCTGCCCTCAAGGACGTCGAGAGCAACCTCCGCTCAGTTGCCTCCGCCTCTGGTGCTGTGCCCCCTCCACTGTTTCACGGGTGCACTGTCCCTCAGCTGCCCACCTTTACGGCCTCCCTTGCCACTGCCGCTAATCACATGACCGCAGCTGCTGTTACGACTTCTTCGTGGACTAGGGGTAGGAGCGGCAGGAGAGGCGGTCAGGGTGCGGGCGGAGGTGGCGGAGGCGGTGGGGGTGACGTGGCGAGCAGCAGCGGCGGGAGTGCAGGGTCTGGAGGAGTGCCTTATGCAGCGGCTGGTGACTCCCCTGCTTCAGCTGGTGGAGGTGACGCCCGGGTTTGTCAGCCACCTACTGGTCTACCAGTTGCAGGGGGTGGAGCAGCGGCGTGGTACCTGACTCAGCGACAGCAGCAGCACCAGCAGCCCCTCCCCTCGCAGCAGCCACAGCAGTAGCAGCGGCAGCAGCAGGCTCCGGGGCAGGGGTCTGGACCGCGTCAGCTGTCGCGTGGTGTCGTCTACCCTCCTTGCACCTATCTCGTTCAGACAGGTACTCGCCGAGGCCTCCCCTGTGGCCGCACCCACCCACTAGGTCAGTGCTTTGCTCAGCTCACTGACACACTTCTTGCGGCCTACGGGGTTGACGGCCCTGCCCCTGACTGGCTTCCCCTTGTTCAGCGATACGGCCCCGCTCTGTGGGGCATGTCGGCTTCTCAGTTGCTTGATCTCTTAGGAACTCCTCATGCTATGTATGCTGTTGTTGACTCTAGTGCTTCTTACTCGGTTTACTCGAGTGTTGTTAGCTTGTGTGCTTGTGTTATTGAGGTGCCTGTTGCTAGCGTAGGTACTTGTGTAGACACTAGTCCAGTAGCTGCTTCGGAGGACACTTCGCTGTCGTTCACTCTGGATTCCAGAGCTTCGCACTGTTTCTTCCGCACGACTCTTACTCCGCTTCCTGCGCCGGTCTCTGTAGCACTGGCTGATCCCACTTCGGGACCAGTCACTGCTTGCTACAATACTACGCTTCCAGCAGTTCCCTCGAGTTTCCTGACGGGCTTCCACGTCTCCTCGTTCTCCAGGAACTTGGTGGTGTGAGTAGTCACGTGGGTGTGTGGATTGAGTCTTCTGGCGAGACTGCGGTTTGTGTCGACGGGGACACGTATGCGCCTCTGACCACCTTTACCGCTGAGCTGGGCTCTGGTCTCTACACACTTCACATTGGCCCTCGGCAGCAGTAGCAGCAGCAGCAGCAGCAGCAGCAGCAGCAACAGCAGCAGCAGCAGCGGAAGTAGAAGCAGCAGCAGCGGCAGCGGCAGCAGCAGCAGCAGCAGCAGCAGCAGCAGCACCAGCAGCAGCCGCCGCAGCAGCAGTAGTAGCTACTGCCCCCGACCACTATCACTGCCCCCCGTCAGGTCCCCCCGTCTCACCAGGTTGCCGCTTCTCACCAGGTAGTTGTGTCTGGTCAGGTTCCCGTGTCTGGTCCAGTTGCTGCGTCTTGCTCCTGCCGGTCACTTGCCCACCCCACCGTTCTATGGCACCACCGGATGGGGCACCCGTCCATTCCTTGCTTGCGTGCTATGTCTAGTCAGCGTCTTGTCTTAGGCCTCCCGCGAGTCTTGTCGTTGCTGCCGCCTTCGCTTGCACCACCTTGCGGTCCCTGCGTCGAGGGTCGGCAGCGCGCCACCCCTCACTCCTCCTCCCTTCGTCCGGCCACCGAGCCCTTCAAGACTCTCCACTTGGACGTCTGGGGCCCCGCCCCTCGCCCTGGCCCTGAGCGAGAGAGTTTCTTTCTGGTGATCGTTGGCGACTACTCTCGCTACACCACAGTGTTCCCCCTAGCGAAGACATCTGAGGTGACTTCTACGCTGATCCGATGGTTACTTACCACTGCAGACACTTGTGGTCGTCGTGTCAGCTGCCTTCACTCCGACCGTGGGGGTGAGTTTCGCTCTGGCATTCTCGCTGGATTCTGTTGCGAGCAGGGCATCCGTCAGTCCTGGACGCTTCCACAGTCCCCACAGCAGAATGGGGTTGCTGAGCGCCGCATAGGCTTGGTCATGGAGATTGCACGCACCTCCATGATCCATGCCCGTGCGCCCCATTTTCTGTGGCCCTACGCGGTTCGGTGTGCCGCTCACCAGCTCAACCTCTGGCCACGTGTCTCTCGGCCAGAGGCTTCACCGACCAGTCTTTGGACCGGGTCCCTGTCACAATGTAAAATTGACTAAAATAGAAAGTACAAACAAGATATATGCAAAACCTAACCCTAGTGCAAGTACATAATAACACAAGGGAGAACACATAGACTAGAACTATACAAGCTATAGGAATATAGTTTGACAGTCCCTAGGTGCTACGTCGCGTTTTCGTGTCTGGGGCTGCTTGGCGCTTGTTCGCGACACCTCCGCGGATAAGCTCTCCCCTCGCGCCCTTCCCTGTGTCTTCCTTGGTTTCCCCGTAGATTCCTCTGACTTCACCTTTTACCTCCCTCCCCTTCACCGGTTCTTTGACTCCCGCGACGTTCGTTTTGTCGAGTCAGTCCTCTACTACACCCGGTACCCCTGTAGAGGTCTTTCGGTTCCTCCTTCCTCTCTCTTCCTGACTCCCGCCCCCCCTCCTGCCCCTCCGGTATAGCCCCGCCCCCCTGGTCCAGCCCCGTCAAGTGTGTCACACGCTACCCCTCCCTCTTCTGTAGCCCCTAAGGTGCCG